GAATTGCATAGCGAAATATTCGGTTGAAAAATCTGTCCATGTGGGTGATTTCTCTTGAAATCTAAGTCCTAAATTCTCCTTTGTTCTGTAGGGTGGAGGGCAGGACCTGGTACACATGTCATAGAGGGCGGTTATGGATTGCAGCTACAGCTAAAAGACCTTCCCCTCAGGAAATCTCTGAGCTGGAGGCCACCTACAGAATGCTGCTCTGGAAAGGTGAACTTCTCTCCTTGGATCTTTGAATTATTTGGTACATTGAGCTACGTAATGAGCAATGTCAGGAGCTCTCTCTGCTGAGCGGTTATTACTGCTTCGCTTTTTAACCTTCTGTTCTTGAAATTCTCTTCATCCTCTCTGTATTTCGTCAGCTGGATGGGTATGATGGCAGACTTCTAACTCTGTCCTTTAGCTGGTCACGTACTCCAAGCACAAACACTGGCGAATTGCACCTGACTTCTGTGATAGGTTTTGACAGCAAAGGACTTAATTTTATTCTTGGCTCAAGCAACAAGCTGCCGAGTGCGTGCTTGGCTGTGTGTGAAGTAGCTCGTGCTTCAGGCTGCTCACACTGATGTTAAAGGCTTTTCATGTATTCTGACTTTGTGGAAATCAGGACTGAAAAGCTGCAGGTTCTCAGGAAGATGTTATTCTCTCACGGGGGTAGGGAGGACTCTGGGGGCTGCACTGCACACCTGTTTATGTGCTGTTTCTGCATGTCACCCAGCTTAAACGTCATACAGCAGGATTGCCTGCTCCCTCATCAGAGCCAGGAGATCTTCCTGCACTGTATGTTCCTCTGTCAGAGGCTAAGCAGGGAATGGTGTGTATATGATAAAATCTCCCAACCTTAGTCCTGTCATGGCGAAGATCCCGAGCTGGAAAAAGAATGATGGGATGTTAAAATTGCTGTGGGTTTTCTTGTGCCTCAAAAAGTAGAAGCACACGGTGGGAGGGGAAAGCTCCTGGGGGTTTGAAGACCCCAGCTGTGTGTGTGGGGATGTGAGCCTCCTTAAGAGATGTTTCTTTTGGTGCAGATGTGGAATTCCCAAGTGATTATCCCTCAGGGTGCCTCCTAGGCTGTGTGGACGTGGCCGACTGTTTATCGCAAGAGCAGTTTAATGAGCAGGTGAGTACAGCAAATAAACCTTTCTGAGCTTGCGCTAGCCAGCAAACTTTTAAAGTAGTGTAACTCGCCTCCATGAGATGCTCTAGAGAAGACATTGAAAGGAGAATTTAGGCTGTGTTGAGAGAAGACACAACTGCTGCACAGTCTCGTATGGCCAGAAAGAGAATGTACTGCGAAAATGCATTTCAGCAATGGTGGAAGGGAACAGTGGACTGGTACAACCTAAATTCGCCATCAGCCTCTCTGGCAGTGAGGTAGTTTGGTTGAAACTAGTTTCTCACATGCTCTGAAACTCTTTTCAAATAAGGACTCATGCTTGTTTCATTAAACCAATGCTAGCTTGAGAGACCACACTGCATGGGCTCATGACAGTGTTGCTTCCCTTGCTGCACGGATGCTGTGGCTGTGCTGGACTGTGGAAGACAGGAACCTGCTGTGTATTAATGTTGTATTTCTGGTTTTCATCCCCATTTGGCAGACTCGGGAGCTTACACCTTACTTTGATGTGACTTGTAAAGCGCCGATTATTTCTCTTGAATCTTCATTGGGTCCTAATAGAAAGAATTGCTCTGAGTTTTGCCAGCCAGGCAGCAATTTTTTGCTGCCTCTGAGTATAACTATGCGCCCCATCTCAGAGAGGACTCTGGATTAGGAAGGGTTAAGTACCTACTTGGCTGCTTTTGGAGTGCCGTAAACAACTCCCTGTGCACAGCCAGTAGAGACTTTGCGGTTATTTTTTGGTTCTCTTGCTACAAAAAAGACGTTGTGTTGCTGGAACATGTCCAGAGGAGAGCAACAAAGCTGGTGAGGGGTCTGGAGCACAAGCCTTATGAGGAGCGGCTGGGGGAGCTGGGGTTATTTAGTCTGGAGAAAAGGAGGCTGAGGGGAGACCATATTGCCCTCTACAACTGCCTGACAGGGGACTGTAGTGAGATGGATGTTGGTCTCTTCTCCCAAGTAACGGGCAATGGGACAAGGGGAAACGGCCTTAAGCTGCATCAGGGGAGGTTTAGGTTGGACATTGGGAAAAATTTCTTCCCCAAAAGGGTTGTCAGGCACTGGAAGGGGCTGCCCAGGGAAGGGGTTGAGTCCCCATCCCTGGGGGTATTTAAAAGTCAGGCAGACGAGGTGCTTAGGGCCAGGGGTTAGTGGTGGGATGGCAGGGTTAGGGGAATGGTTGGGCTTGATGGTCTTAAAGGGCTTTTCCAACCTGAACAATTCTATGATTCTATGATTATTGCAGTGATTTGTGTGGCAGAGGATGTGAAGGGGCCCGGTGTGGAAAACTCTGCAGCAGTGGCAGTGATGTGCCGTGGGACCTTCTCCCTGGCCCTGTGGTACCAGTGGGATCAACTGCTCTGTATGAGAGAGGGTAGCTTGGCCCAAGCAGAACCATCTAGGTCTGTAGCTGCTGGGACTGCCTGGTGCTTCTTCCTGGAGCTTGAGGTCACAGTGGCCTTGCTGGTGAGAGTTGTGCTCTGCCTGGGGCACTGAGTCACCCAGAGAAGGAGCTGTGGGAGGAGGTGAGCGGGTCCGGAGCTGCTGGGTTTTCACACAGACCCTGCTGAGAGGACATCCAGAGCCCCTAGATAGAGGGACAGAGGAATAGCTGGAGATTACAGTGGGTCAAGCCTCCCAAGGGAGTCAAGGGAGGTTTGAGTGGTCTTTTGCTGAATAAAGCAGGTGATTGTGTGACCAGGGACACAGACAAGGTTGAGGTACTGTGGCCTTCTTCACCTCAGCCTTCCTCAACAAGATCTCTCAGAGATCTGGAGCTGAGAGGCAAGGTTCAAGGAGGAGAGGGAGTACCTGTAGTGAAGGGAGATTGAATTGTGAGCTTTTTGAGAAATCTCCACCTGCACAAGTCCAAGGGTTCTGATGGTGTGCATCTAAATGTGCTGAGAGTGTTGGCAGATGTCTTTGTCAGGCCAGTCTTACCTTGGAAAGGTTATGGAGATCAGGAGAGGACCCTGGTGACTCTAGAAAGGTGACTGTTAGCTCCATCTTTAAAAAGGGAAGGAGGGATGACCCTGGCCACTTCAGGCCAGTCAGCTTCACTTTGGTCTCTGGGAAATTCAGAGAGCGATTCCTCTTGGAAGCCAATTTTGGACACATGGAGGAGAAGGATGTTGGAAATAGCCAGTGGGGATTTACCGAGGGGTAGAATTGTGCTTGACTAACCTGATTGCCTGCTATGATCCCATAGTTCAAGCTGTGCCCATCTTTTCCTTTGTATTTAGCAAGGCTTTTAGCCTGGTATCCCACAGCGTGCGTGTATCCCAGGTGAGTCATTGTGGTCTGGGCAGGTGGACTTCTAGGGTTGACAACTCAGCTGGCTTCAAAGTGCAGTGCTGGTTGCCTCGTAATCTCCTTGGTGGCTCGTTAGAGGTGGTGTTCCTCAGGGCTTTCTCCTTGAAATTCTCCTGGTTAATACATTTAGCAATGACCTGGAGAGGGATTTGAGGTGGAAGAAGAGAGACCTTCCGCTTCCTGCAAGGAGAGTATAGAGAGACAGAGCCAGGCTCTTTGCTGATGTACTTGGCAGGAAGATGAGAGGCAAGGGTCATAAATTGAAAGTTCAATGTGACTTAAAAAAAAAATAATTCCCTGTGAGGACAGCCAGGCACTGGAGCAGGCACTGCCTGGAGGGGTTGTGCAGTCTCCTCCCATGAAGATTTTCAAGACCTCACAGGACAAAGCTGTGAGCAACCTCGCCTGAATTCAGTGATGACCTTGCTTTGATCAGGAGATTGGACTGGAGACCTCCTGAAGTCTGGGTCTGTGATGCTGTGACTGACTCCATGCCCAAAATCTGGAGCGGTAGCTTTCCTCAGGGTGTGATTTAACTTACACAGCCTGTGCTTAGTGCCAAGCACAGCTTGGCTGTTCTCAATACCGTTTCATGTCTCGTCAGTCCACTGCCCCATGTACAATTTGGGTTTGGTCCGATGGGAATCACCAGACCATGTAAGGCTTGATAGTGATCCAAGACCACCTTGTGAGTCGAAATAAATGGGTTCCTTGGGGCAGCAGAGGAGGACACAGCAGGCTGATGGGCACCTTCTTGCCACGAGGAGCTGGAGAGGCATCAGCAGCTGGGGGCTGTTCCTTGTGAAGTGTTCTTCTGGCTTTTCCAAACCCTGTGAGGTTTTTTTAGCAGAGAGAGGTGCCTGGAAGGTAGAGAAGAGGTTGTGTCTCTTAGTCACAGGTGGAACAGGATTGGAATACGAGCAGCAGAGGGAGCTTTGGGACTGGAATACAACGAAATCTGCAGGAGTGTTTGGCTTTGTAGGGGAGCTAGCCTTGGGAGAGAGAAGAGGAAAGGAGACTGGGGCCAGTGTAGGTTTTTTTTTTCCTGTAGCATCCACTGATGCACAGTTTTGGTTTTAAATGGAGATTCTTGTCCTGCTGTCTGTGGCAGCGGTGGAAAAATATATCCTGGTCTCTCACAAGTACTTTTTTCTGCCTAACAATTCCCCTTCTTCCTTTGTAGATAAGTTCTTCAGGTGTTGGTAAAATGGCTGTGACAGCTTCTTATAATCTGGAAGTTGAGCTGTAGGTAACTTGCTTTTAATCTCCCCATAGAGGAGCTTCACAATTAGTTATGTTCTCTATAAATTCTTCCCAGGATACTGGCACTGCTTGGCTGCAGAGACACTGGAGGAAGCGTAGTGTGCTCTGGTAGCACTGTTATCAGACCTCTAGGCAAGAGATTTATCTCTCAACGCCATGATGCCATGGCACTTCCCAGTTCATTTCTCCCTGGCTTTTTGCTGCTCCCATAATGCAAACTATTTATAATTCCCTGTTTGCTGCCTTTTTACAGTGGTTTTGTCCATTCCCACCCCCACCCCCGGCTTGCTTAATGCAGTGTTCATTTCCCTATCTTGTAAGATTACATTCAGAGATTGGAGCATCCTTCTGAAGCTGGTTTATGAGGAACTGTATGTTTTTGTGGACTATCATGAGCTAGCGAGCGCATCCGAAGGAAGCTGAGATTAATTTAATTGAGAATGCTAGCAAGGTGAAAAAGTGTGCTCAGAAATCTGAGTTGGATCTTGCTGGGAGTCAGAAATCCCTGTTGCTCACACGGATGATTCAGCCCAGGTTCATCAGCAACCAGCACCAAGGCCACTTGTCATCAGCGTAGTCCCGACATTTCTTGGTGTACAAAGACTCCTCCTCGCCTCGGCGGGGAGTGGAAAAGGAAGATGATGTGTTTCTTCACCAACCTGTATTTGAAGCTGCTGCATTTTCTGGAAGAAGTCGTTTCACAAGTGCAGGGCAAGCCACATTTGCAGATGATATGCATCACCCAAAGATGAAATAGTTCTCTGTCTTGCTCGTTGTCTTTTGATGGTGGCCCTGCCTTTTTCAGCAGCCGCAGAAGTTTGCTTTGACTCTTGTGACCATTTGTTCCCATAGGCAAGGGAGACTCTTCCTGCTTTACCCCTCCTGTGACTTTTCTACTATTTCTTAGCTCTTTTTGATGCTGTCACCCACTCCCTATTTAGTACTGTCTGCAGATTTAATTTCCTTGCTGTTTGCATCCTCTCTCAGGTTGCTAATGACGATGCTAGTGGCACCCTGCTGGTATTTTTCTATCATTATCCTCATTTAATTTTTTTATTTTACACTTGTGCTCAAAACCCAAAATCGAGCAACGACGCCCCGTTTCACTGGATGCTGCACCAGCAGACTCAGAGCAAGTCCCTGCCCTGAGAGCTTGCGTTGTTATTAGGGACTGGTGATTTATCCACATTGTTACCGGGTGTGTCTGGCCTTGCCTAACCCCTTCAGAGGGAGCAGGCTTGCAGCTCTGCCCTACGTATGGGGTTTGAAGACTGACTGATGTTGTTGAAGTCGTTTGCAGATCCGCAGGGCCACATGAGAAGCGATGACAGACCAGGATCTTGCCTCTATACAAATGCACGCAGCATGGGAAACAAACAAGAGGAGTTGGAAGCTATCGTGCTGCTAGAAAGCTACAACCTGATTGC